CTTTTTAATGGAGTGGACCCCCTGGGAATATGTTTTTTCATCAGGGTGGTGTAGTACGGACGTTGAAAACTGCCAAAGCTGACAAGGTGAAGATTGAAGCTGAAGTGAAGAAGTTACTGGAGTTGAAGCGACAACTGTCACTGGTAAAAGGGGAGGACCCTGCTCCTTCTTCAGGAGGAAAAGGAAAAAATAAGAAATGAGGAAATAAATAAAATATGATGTTAAAACATGCAGTACATTTTATACAAAGTTCAAAACAGAAAAAATTTAATTACAAGCAACTATGAAACATAATTTGAAAAGTTTTTTAGCTCCGCCGTCGAGCGGAGCTTATCATATGAGTGATTGTCCGTCGGCGTCTGTCATCCATGTCAATGTTTTACTTTTTCGACTTCTTCTTGAAAAGCACAAGCCTGAATGCTTTGATACTTGGTCTGTATGTACCTTGGGTAGGCCTCTCTTAGATTTTCTCATTTCATGATGATATCTTCAATTCTCTAATTTTGATGAATATTTTTGGTAAAAAGTGATATTTTTGGCTTCTTGTTAAAAACCACAAGTCTGCTTGCTTTGATATTACATTATGTAATGTATGTACTACATGTGGACCTATTTCAGATTTGTTCATTTCGTGATGATATTATCTAATTTTGATGAATATTTTTGTCATTTATGGGGAAATGTGATATTTTCAAATTCTTGTTGAAAACAGCAAGTCTGATTGCTTTGATACTATACATATTGTTCCTTTTCTAATGATATCTTCAGTTCTTTAATTGTATTGTGCATTGCTAACAGCGGAGCTATCTCAGCTGACAGGCTGCTTGTTTAATTAACTGCTATAATTAACTGACTTTCAAAACATAACTTTTTTCAAAGGCATAACAGAAGACTATTAATTATAAAAAAGTACGATACATAATTTTGAAATGAAATTTGCATTTACAATGCTTAACTGATTTTAGTATGTCTTTAAAACATCATGATTGTTTTTATACATGCACAGTATTGATGACAGTCACTTTAAAGTGGAATTCCTCAAAGCTATCAGTGAATAAAAGCATAGATGAACTATCTAAGCCTTGCCTAGTTTGTCACTTGATGGAGTGTAAATGGTTAAAGCGTGGTGGTCGTCGCGCTGCGTGCATATGCAACATATGTGTTGATAAACATTGATTTTCCCATAATCCAATGCGCTCTTTAAATGGAAATCACAAGTATAAGGGTTGACCTGTGTGCGACTTGCACTGAATACCACCGGTGACTCCTTCGATACAATGTACCTTCCAATCACCTAAAAATTACCTAATTGAAACTTAGAAACGTCTCAGTTTGTACTCATTGATCTGCCCAATAGTCAAAGACACCATCTTTGTTTATATGAGACCCATATATCTCGCGCATGCGTGGCGCGACGACTATCACCCTTCAATTTTGAATCATATCTATAAAACACCCATGATATTCAATGTGAAGGTTTCTTGGAAAAGAAACAAGTTGCTGTTTTGCCAACAATCACATTTTTGACTTTTTAAAATCGTCTTATTACCCAATTTTGTTCATAACATGAGTAAAGAAATGTTGAGACCAATAATTGCTAATTTCCGGCCATTTTTTTTTCTCTTTAACTTCAGAACTGTAAGATTATATTGTTAGAACCGCTGTACTGCACATGGTTGCTCGTTTGTTCAACCAAAGTTAATGAAATTATAAATTACATGGATTACAATATACTTGCATACAGTCTCTTGTTTTTTTCAATGAAATAATTTATCATGTGAGCGTGTAAATAGCGAAAGCTGGAATACCGCGAACTAAACAAGGGACTTGTGTCCTTCTGTAGATGCCCTTATGCGTAGGTGATGATTGTCACTGGTCTGGTTTCAGTGCGTGATGCAATGATTGACAGGTTCATCAATATTCCACCAATCAGCGTTAACTCATCAAAATTGGAATTAGAGATTCGTCTTGATAGAAACCACGCAATAAACCAACATTTTGCATGCTTACATTTCACATTATTCTTATATGACATTTTTTTATGATGGCATTGCAAGCCAGTGTTGAAGGTGCACTAAAGATACTAGGTTATTCATCGCTTTGATAATACCAACGACAGGTCATTGATGCATACACTTCTGGTCACGATGTTTGTGTGTGTGTTGGTCTATCAAATCGCTGACTGCCTGAACTCAATTCCTTACATGTGTCTTCTGGCCAGCTTTGAACACTCTTCTGTGGTTATCTGATTGTTATGTCTTTGACCCAACATAGAATGCATACAATGCATTCCAGATTTCTCGGTGATACAACAGTTGTGAAGCTGGTTTTTAGTCAACGTGCTAGCGATCGCTTGACCGCTATTTACTATTTAATATTTTCAATTACCCATCATAGACTCCGGTCAGTCAAAATGACTATTTTGAACTGTATGCATTTATCTGCGATTCAGCCAATGACGGAGAGAGAAATCTACGTCAGGGGAAGCCCCATAACCTCG